AGACCCGTCAATGCCATATTTACCATACTGAATTGTTATGTCTTTGCTTTTAACAAAAACTTGATATTGGCATTTCCTTGCAAAGTTCTTGCTGGTGTATGTAAGGGAAGCTTATCATCTCATTCATTTAAGACAACAGGAATTTGGTCCTGCCGCCTCAGGCACTGCACTTTGCTCCTGTCTTCATCCTTTTGTTCAGTTGTTCTCACTCATTCAGTCTCTCTTAACCCATCCCTCCCAACCAGCCCTCATTACACTAGTGAATCTACAGTGTGGCTTTGTGGCTGCAAATGAATCCTTTGACCTTTTGTCTTGTCATAAAAGACTTTTGGCTATTGTTGTATTGTGTATTATGCTTTTGTTACTTTTCTATTTAGATGTAGCTTTTACTGCAGCCCGAGCATGTGCAACTACATGCCCCTTTGTTCTGCAATATACACCATATGAGACTTAATCAATGGCTCGATTTTTTTTTTTTCATGACAGGTCATGTCCATACTTGAGTTCAGTTGAGTTCAGTACACATAAGATGCATTTGTCAATCTTTGGGGATTAGTTTTGGGTCCCCTGCCCGTGTCCACCATGGGACAGAGCATGTGAGGCAGGGGCGTGCAAGGAGAGCGCACGTGAGACAAGGGCCATGTTTGGTGTCTGTTCCTTAATGTATCTGTTACGTTTGTTGACAGAGTTGCGTTGGTTTGTTTGTTCAGCAGGCCCTTGCATGCTCTGGCACTCTGAGAAGTGGCATGTACACACAGGCTGTAGCCTCGCCTGGCACATGCACTAAGGTTTCATTCTAGCCTGCAGGCAAAACCAAAAACTCACTTTTTTAAGCAAAAAATGCTGTTTGTTTTGTGAATGTCTTTTTTTCTTTAAAGGGGATGGAATTTATATATTTTTGATTCATTTACAGTATTCTGTAGCCTATCAAAACCACAAACTAGTTGGACACATTGAATAGTAAGAAAAGATCTTGCTTCTATCATCATGCAAAGCTTGATTAGTTGGCCGATGACATTTAAAAATATATTTTATTCAGAAAAGAATAACATCAAAAGTTATCAAAAGTGACAGCAAAGGTATTTATATGTCGAATCAACTTATCAACAATTATTTATTAACTCTATTTACCAAAGAATCCCGTAATGTTTCCACAAAAATATTAAGCAGCACAACTGTTTTCTACATTGATAATAATAAGAAATGATTCTTGAGTACTAAATCAGCATATTATGTTAGATATATAGTGTTGAGTAAGTTACTCTAAAAAGTAATTTTTTTACTAGCTATAATTAGATTACTGTACTACTGACTCTAATACGATCTAAATCCCACCAACCTCGAACAATAAGGATAGAAACGAATCTGCTCTTTTAATTCTTTCAAATAAATACTATAAAATTGCCTAAACGATTCTTGAACGGACCAAAGTATTTAAAGGGAGAAGTTTACATTAAAAACATAAATTTAAAAAAACATTAGACATTATATTTTGATGTTAAAATTCATTATTGTTTTATACAATTCTTCTAAAGTCTATCTATCCATCCATCCATCCATCCATCCATCCATCCATCCATCCATAAATTCTAAATAGCTGTTTTTCAAAAAGACTGTTTAAGGTTGTGCCATTTCTAGATACTTAATTCTGACCAGGTTACTTGTGGTGAACACTACTAAGGCCCTGTCCCTAACACCTCGCTCTCTTCCTCCGAGTCCACACACCTTTGTGACGTAATGCCGATTTGTCCCTTTCCTGAATGGTATACTTCACGTTCAGTTGCAGTCTACTGGGCTTGCAATTGACCCAAGACTGTAGAGTGTTCCATATGTCAATTTAGGTTTCAGGGGGGTGCTCCCGAGTACCCCCTTTGCGGTCGATATGTGCCATCGATGCACACTTTATGTTATAAAGACAATCAAAACACAGGTGAAGAATAAGCAGAAACAAGTGATAAGCCCTGTCCCAAATGGCACCCTAAGCACTCGTGGTCCTCCTACAAGTAGTAAGTTGTGCGCACTATTTAGCCTACTATTTTTTTCCTGCATATCATGATGTGCAGGACTCTGTACCGTAGATTAGAAAACTATCAGTATACCTATAAATTTACTTGAAGTAGGCTATCGTTGCAGTTCTAACAAACAACTTAATTGTAAACTAGATGTGTACTCCACGTTGGCTACTGTTACACTTAAAGTATACAAAAAGTATACATTTGTACACTAAAAAGTGGACCAATTCAGTACACATAAGGAACTTAAAGCATAGTTTTTTGAAAGGGTCTGGTTGAGATTAGTGAAAAATGGTTGGCCTATCTAAAATTTGAATAAGACTTAGTCTTATTGCCCAACCGTACTCCTTTCTAGATTACAGGAAAGGTTCCCACAGTTTTAGGATACATGTGATTTATTTAGTGTGCCAGTAACCATGTGATTTATTTAGTAGTGTTCCAGTAACCTCGTGATTTATAAATTATTTAGTGTTAAAGTAACCTTGTTAGAAATAGAAATGGTGCATAGATGACCAAAATGTTCTTTGCATTCAGAATAGGTCCAGATAGATTTTAGTCTAATAGTGATACTTCACTGAATGGCCAATTTCACATGTAATACAACATATTTGTATTAATATTTCTGCACAGCAAAGTTGTTATTACAGAGTATCTACATTTTGATATATTCAACTGAAAAATGTTCTATTTTGTTTTATACTTTCATGCCCATCTCTATGTGCCAAAAGGTTTGGTGATAATAAAACATAGGGGAGCGCGGGGGACAACCTAACGCGGGGTTAAATGTAACACGGACCTTTTACATAGTCAGGGACAGGTTGTGTTTCCGCTCTTTTCTCTTGCTGCCAGAACACCGCCAATTTGTGGTAGGCCTAAGTTTAAGATACTGGACAGAGAGTGTTCTGACACCATGCAAGTCATCATACGTTATTTTCGGTCCCTGAGTCGGGTACATCACCAAATCGAACTTTATTTTGCCTTAATCACTGTATCATTGGCAAAAACATAGCACCATTTTGAAAAATATCATCAACTCCTAGCAACTGTTAGCACTTAAAATATTTTTTTACACAGCGGGGTTAGTTGTATAGGACAGTGTTACAATAAGCGGCCAAACAATTATAATGAAATGAAAACAGGGAGCCACACAACTTTTCAAGTTTGAGTATTTATTTATTTATATATTCATTTTGTCATATAAGCACTGTTTGAATTTAAATCTCAAAGAATGTTTTTTTTCTTCATTTTAGCTATGCATTGATCACTTGTTCTTTTAAATGTATTAAAAAGCCTGTTTTTCATGCAATAACCCGTTTAAAATTTGATTTTGAGCTTGTTTGTATTATTAATCATAATAATTTTGCATGCAGCTGCAACACACAAATATAAATCAATAGCAATTACAATATTTGATGATTTTATTTTATTATTATTATTTTTGTATTTATTTATTGCAAAAACCAAAACCAAAAATGTGTTAGGTTGTGCCCTGCGCTCCCCTACATATTTTTGAACATCACTATAAAAGATGAATTACATTTTTTCTTGCACAATCTTACTTTGTACAGTATAATTACTTTTCAAAATGATATAATATATTCATAGCATTGTCAGCCTATAGATCACTAATATGAATGGCCACTCCATCTTTGGCAGAGGCCGTTACTCCCGACCCTGGTATTTGCCCTCAAAAAGCAGCATGTTGTGTATGACAGTGACCCCTGCCCTCGTCTTGTTACTGCTTTCCAGCGATGCTCCAGGTGTAAGATGAGCGAGGATAAGCCTCTTTCTTTTCATCCTTCACCGTTACGCTTGACACGTCTTTATTGGAGCTGAACCTAAAACCTAAACTGAACTTGTAAACTAGGATGTTCAAGTTGCCTGAAGCAAAGCTGTACTGGTTTCATCGCTTCCTCTTTTCTTTAGTCACAACTTTCAAAAATAAACTGGCATATATATGTGATTTTTAACATTACACAGCGTCTGCAAAGACACGTTTGTAAAGGTTCAGACAACAGTTCTAAAGGTCAAGACCTTATTTCCTCAACTGACAGACCTCATTGACTCTAGGTTGAGTTCGTAAAAATATCAAACTTGTCCACTGAGGCCTATAGAAAATTGCTTCTTTTGCATTGAGCCCACACTGTAGTTTGCATTAGAGAATGCTCTCATGCATTCACCGTTGCCACTGTGTTGTATCTCATTTACACTTAGTTTCTCATTTAGAAGGAAGATCTGTCTTCTCACACAGGGGTGAAGTAAGTATTTTTTGCTTTTTGACTGTTTTCCTCACTGATAAGCCTTTTCCAGAGGCTGCTTCAAATATTGAGGAGCTGAGAACTTTAAAAAGGCCTTAAGAAATCCTTTAACTGTCTAACTGCTCTAACTGTGCTTTTTAAAGTGATTACATTTTAGTACATTCCAAGCAGATGTATTTTGTTATAAAAAGCTGTTCCTTGTTTTTGTTGCTGAGATGTATGATTGTTTGTGTAATTATAGAAAGAACTGAGCTGAGAAAAGGAACATGATGAGTTTCATGGCTTGAGTGGTCAATGAAGCTCAAAGTGTGTGCAGGTGTTTCCTTTAACACTAATAAATTGACTAGCGTGACAGTTTCAGATGGCGTACATCAATTCTCAGCAGCCTAATTTTGGACTCTTCACCCAGAAAGATCAGTAAAGTTAATATAGATCATGCAATTTATATAAATTCATCAAAAATAAGGCATATTTATTAATAGAGCATATAATGTAATCTTCAAAATAATTGGAATCTAGAAGCATTGGTGAAATAAAAGAAAATAAATTTGAAAAATACTTGGATTGGATGGATTTAAAATAATATTATTAATAATAATAATTAGTGAATTTTAAGAGTTTTGGTAAATTTTGTTCCTGATCATCATTAAGAAAATAGATGGAACACACATGAGATAAAGACAAAAGGGGAATTCACCAGTTTACCAAAACCCTCTCTGCTTTCGTTCTAGAGCAGTTATGGACATAGAATTTGTGCTGAAACTTTAAATTCTGGTAAACTGAATTAATGAGGATAGCGGCTTCCCTTTGTGGTGACATCACTTGAATGCAGTTGCTTTTAAAGGCAGCCCACTCAAGCGACCGCTGTACAATTATGAGATGATCTCAGGAAGTAATAATTTTTTTATATCATAAGAGTTTAGATTGTTACATATCAGAGTCTGCACATGGGAAAATGTAAGTACAATTTATGAATATCAATACAATTTGATTTGCACATTTCACATGCATTATGTTGCAGTATGCAAATGTACCATTATTTACTTATGAAAATTAAATACACTGCAAAAGCCTGAATCATCAAGAAAATAATCTCTTTTTTTTTTTCAATTAAATTCGGACGCAAAATCTAATCTCATTACATTTTACAGATGGAAACCAATTGATCGTTGCTGTTTTGGCATATTATCTGTTCTGAAGAGTGGTGTGATTAATTAATATCTCAGTATTTGCCTTTTCATCATCCACACGGATTATGTTAACACTGGCAGTGATAATTTAACACTGGCCTGTTCTTTGGCAGTTTGACAGAAACTCTAAATGTAATTTTGGGGTCATTTTAACATATTGACTGATATACTTACATTTTAAGTATCACATTGATGCATTGTGATTTTTCTTAAAATCTTATGAGGAATTTTTGTAAGCAACATTTCACTCTTCAAATTTTTCTCTTTTGTCCTCCATGAAAGTCCAAAAGAGTTCAATTTTTTTGAGGGGATATAAAACATAATAAATGCAATGCATTATCAAAGTTCTCAGACTGGTGCTGTACAAGCTCAAGATACTTCTAGTGTTGCCATTTTATTGATTTGAAGTCAAATTAACTAAAAAAAAGAAAAGATTTACTTGGATATATACCAGCCATATTTCTAAAAAAACACATCTATACTGAAACAGACAGTTAAAGCATCAGAAATCAGGGTTATTTTAGGGTTAGTTAACAATAAAATCAACATTAACTGAAATGTGTGGTGATGGCGCAGGGGATACGACACATGCCTTTGGTGTGAGAGACCCGGGTCCACTGTGATGAGACACGAATATGTCCCTGAGCAAGACACTTAGTTGCTCCAGAGGCATGCAAACTCTGACATATAGCAATTGTAAGGTGCTTTGGATAAAAGCGTCAAATAAATGTTATGTAAATGTAGCTGTACGTGAAATAAATATGTTAAAAATATACAGGCTATATTTAATTCCACTTAATATTTCTCATATTAATTTAGTTGAGTTTGAAGTTCTAAAGTTACTACTGAAATAAAAACTGAAACTCAATAGAAACTATAAAATACATATTTAAAAAAAAAATAGAAATGACCAAAACTTACAACAAAATCACTAAAACTTTAACTAAAATTAAAATGTTAAATTTTCAAAGTATAGTATCTCGGTTGATGCAAAAATAACAGATGGATGGACTTAAAAGAATTTTGAGGGGAGATTAGGGGGATTCGTTTTTTAATTTCCATTTTTAATTGCACGTGCACTCGTGTGTCTCCGAGATCTTATCTATTAAATGTGTATTGAACAGCAGCAAATCATTTTATTCGTAAGAATTCACAAGTGGGGGTTCCTTCCACATAAATCTTTAAATTACGAGGTGACAGCAGATAGGAGGTCATCGTCATGTTTATTGCCTGTAAGTTTTTCCCGATGATTTATTACTGACCTCTTTGGAAACGTGTGCACCATTACTGTGGAGTGGCTTCATCGTGATATGTAAAACTCTTCAATTGCCCTCCCCCTGGAAGAAAAGACTTCACAGCTGCATACAATAGCTTCCTCTTTTTTCAACTTTTTAAATCCTGCTGTGCTTGTATTGCACAACTGTAGCGGCCTCTTTGCTTTCATTGCTAAATATTCGGACTGTGTCTGTGAATGTTAAAAAGACCGAATTAATTTCTCTTGGAAATGCATATTAAATCCCAAACAATGTCTATTCTATGTTAGTGCAGTGACGTACTGAAAGGATTTTTTTTTTTATTGTTTGCAGAATGACAATATGTCAGACATTTATTACAGAAAAAAGACCTGACGGTTGTTTTGTCAAGGTTATTACAGGTGGTTCGTTGTCGGCCTGTTCTAACAGAGACCAATGTGTGTTGCGAATCTATGATGAATGGCACAGAACAGGTACATTACTGATGCATTATTTGGTGATTAAACATTGAGACTTTAGCCTTAAGAAGTAACAGTTGTGTGAAAATGGGGTGTGGAGAGTGACTTATACACAAACTGTGTTTAGCAAATAAGCGATCAGATTTTCACATTAAAGAATCGTGTTTGACAAATGATTGAATCATGAGTCACAGATGTTGACTTGAGTGATGCATTAATTCATTGATTAAATTATACTAAATGCTGTCCCGGGGTGCATGAATGAAACGTCTGAAGCTGCATCAAGGATTCTTCTTCTTTTTTTTGGTATGAGCACAGTTAGGCAATCAAATACCACCAAACAATCACACCTCCTTAAGTACACAGTGTGCACTGCATGCACCTTTCTTTAGCATTCACTGTTAGCCAGCAGCTGCATCTGTGTATTCACACAACTCAACTTATCATGCCATGCAAAGAACCTGCCTGTTCATGTAAAAAGCAAGATGTACTTTTAGAATCAATCACTTTATGCACTCTTAGAAGAAAAGGCACATAGATCCTTAAGGGTTCACATATTAGGGGTTGCCATCATGGGAACATTATGGATTTCGTTTTAATTAGCTAATTTAGCTTGAATTCATTCTTATTTTTAATTATATTTTATGAATAAAACAGCTCATAAACATACTATACTATCACTATATATAAAATCGTCAAATAATCTGTTGAACATTATGCAGTCATTTAAGACATTTATAGAGGCATTTTGGCATTTTTATTTTCATTGAGTTAAGAACCCTATAGGGTTCTTCATGGACATTTTGAGATGAGCTCAGTGTTGGGAGTTATGCATAACTGCATTACTGAGTAAATAATGACTGTAATTGATTTACTTGGTAATTGATTTATTACTCTTAATTTTTCTGTAATTTAATTGGTTACTTCTGATAATTGCATTAAATATGGTATGGCTATATAACAATTCTAATAAATAAATCTAATAAATAGTGGATTTAACATAAAAATTGAATGTCTAATGTTAAAATGGATGTTTTGAATGTAACATTCTCCCTTTAAATACTTTGGTAAATTCACAAATATATACAATTTTTATATTATTCATTTGGAAGAATTAAAAGTGCAGTTTAATTTATATCCTTATATTGTTTAAGTTATATGTAAGAAGTAGGGCTGTCAACTGATTAATCATGATTAATCGCATCCAAAATAAAAGTTTGTGTTTACGTAATATATGTGGGTGCACGGTGTATAATTATTTTGTGTATACATATATATATATATATATATATATATACACATGCATGTATATTTAAGAAAAAAATATTATTTATATATAAAATATTTATATTTATAAATAATATAAATTATATATAAATCTAGTATATAGGCCTATATGAAAATATTTCTTAAATATATACAAGCATGTGTGTGTATTTGTATAAAATAATTATACACAGTACACCCACATATATTAAGTAAACACAAACTTTTATTTTTGGATGTGATTAATCATTTGACAGCCCTTGTAAGAAGTAATGCAATACATTTGAGAGAGAGTAATTCATCTTTTACTCTCCATGCTGACTCTCTTTAAAAAATCTTTTAAAGCCAAATTTTAATTTGCGATGAAAAATATGAAATGAAGTTTTTTAAATGCATCACAATTAATAATAATGTATAGTAAATGTAAGTTTATTTTTGTTTTTATATACAGTAATGTTCAAAAGTTTGGGGGCGGTAAGAATAATTGAATAGTTAATTTTTTCAGCAAGGACACATTAATTTGATCAAAAGTGACAGTAAATTCCAAATGTTCCAAAAGTTTTCTATTTCAAAGAGGTGCTGTTCTTTTGAACTTTCTATTCATCAAGGAATCCAGAAAGTATCACAGTATCCACAAAAATATTAAGCAGCAACTGTTTTCAGCATTGAAATGTTTCTTGAGCAGAAAAGCGGCATATTAGAATGATTTCTGAAGGATCATGTGACACTGAAGACTGCAGTAATGCTGAAAATTCAGCTTTACCATTACAGGAATAAATTACATTTTAAAATACATTAACATAGAAAACGGTTATTTTAAATTATAAGCATATTCCACAATTTTACTACTTCTACTGTATTTTAAATAAAATAAATGCTGATAAGTAAGCCTTGGTAAGCTTTCTTTCAAAAACTCTGAATGCTGTACATGTTACATTTTACATTTATGTATTATTAATTCAGTTATTTAGCTTTATTTGAGTGTTTTGTGTGAAAACAAACTTGTTCAGTTGATGGATAAGCTAGTTTTTAATGACCTTCTAATTTTCCACCTGTTTAATGACATGGCCATCGGCATATTTTAAAGTTCAAAGCAGATTTAGTTCCAGTAAGTTAATATATTAACATTATAAAAGAAAATTATATATGCAGTTATGAACTGTAAAATGTTCAGCCTTCCATAATGCCTCCACCCTATTATCACACATACTTGTAAATATCTGAATGGAGGGGTTGGAACTGATGTTTGGTGTTCACGTTCCAACAATGAATAATATAGCCATCCAAAAACCAGTGATACTCGTGATACTTCCCTAAAAAAGGTTCACATGGAGTTTCCCAACAAGGAGAGACAAGTGTAAGAATTTGCTCCAGGGTTTCAACACGTCAATAGTGGAGCTGCCAGTGCAGTTCTCATGAAATTAGCTGAGGCACACGAGGGCACAAGAGAATTTATTTATTTTTATTTTTTTAATGAAAAACAGCCCTGTAACGTAGTTGTATCTGACTGGCTGCTTTATTTGAATAGATTAGGAAGTGGGATTTATATAATTATTTCTGCAAATAAGCAGATTCCAGTGTCACTCAGACTTACAAGATCCACACTCTTCACTAATGACTGAAATTGAACAAGAAAGCAAGAGTTTGAGTGATTACTGCCTTACAGTAGCTTTGTATGTCCGATTACACAAAACAAAAAAGACGAAAGGTCCAAATAAAAGAGGTATCTGTTGAGTGACTGAAACTTTCAACACTTTCTGCCCCACCTTGTTTGACTTGGCATGAATAAGAAATCCCTACATGTCTACAAAGTTGTTATAGTGCAATAGGAGTAGTAACAGTGCAATTTTTTGTTCACTCATCAGGATGCTCATTTCTTTCAAGCATGTTCATGGTGTGTTTTTTGATACAGCACTGTCAGAGGTGCCCTCATCTAAGCCGTACCAGGGAGTGAGGGTCAAAGACCCTGTAAAGGAGTTGCTGCGGAGAAAAAGAGGAAATGCTGCCAGAACGAAACCCCCCAGCACAGTAGGAACTACAGCCCACGTGTGCACACACAATAGGACACATGCTTTTTACTATAATGCCATTCAAATCCCATAATCAGGTATTAGCACTTTGATAATTGGCTGAATAATGGGCCCCAGAGGATTGAAAATTATTCTTTAGATAAGATTGGGGATTGAGAAGGATTGTGAAATATTGCAAAATCAATGTCAGCTTGAATTTTACAAGGTATCACTGAGTTGCAAGAAGGCAGGCTCTCCAAACTCCAAGGGGATTTTGTCCTTATATAATCCAGGTGTTTTTCCGTGACAGTTAAACTATTACCCCACATACCCCGAGGGGTTGGGCATAGGGCCTATGCAAATCCATTTGTGGATCTGCCAAAAGGCTTGCCTACCAACCTTAAAATTGTACCTAACAACACAACAAACACACATTCTGCAGCCATTAAATGATAAAAATTAGCAAACTTTAGCAAACTTCTTGTGAAGCCTCTTCGACTTGCAATGCCATCTCGATCGTTTATAAATGCTCTCCAAGCTGAAGCTTCCAACGTGTGTCAGTAATTGCTCCCACAGTGCTAAGCGAAACCACGCACGAGAGCTAGAAATGTGCTTATCTTTGTCTGTTATTTTTAGGTTAGCTAGGTTATCAGTAAGCCAACCCCTCTACGTACTCTCTGCCATTGCATGGGTTTTTAAGCAGCTTTAACATTATTGGGCTGGGGGCCACAGCAGTAAATGCCTTGATCCAATCTACCAGGTGTAGGTCTCAGACAAAAGTCCCTGTCATCACTTTAAGTGGGATTTAAGTGCAAACACTTGCCCTGACATGTACACCATTTTACAAAGGAATATAATTGTGCCACTTGATTGCTTTTCTTTTGTGTATAGCTGGTCATATTCATTGTTACGTAAACTTTATGTCTTTAAGACGAGTACCTACACGTTTTCCTGCTTATTAGATGTCTACTTGCCAAATAAGAAGTTTATTGCTTTAAATGTTTTTATATTCTAGCTTGGGATTTGAGATTATTCAAAACTAAAAACACGAAAACGTCAGGGATACTGATTTTTTTGTGTTTTAAGTGTTTGTTGTAGCCATGTTTCTTCACATGTCAATATTCACTAAGCAAAAAAACAAAGGTAATGTCTCTGGTTTTGGAAAATCCTCATTGAGATGGACTTTTCTCATTGAGAAAACTTTTGTCCTGATTGTAGAAAAACAAAAAGCTCCTGGCTACGGTTATTGGACCCTCAGGGTGGAATAGTCTGTGTAAAGCAAAAGCAACAATAAAAAAAAAATATATATATATAATTAATAAAAAAAATTGTAAGAGCAGGTTCCAGAATAAACTATTTTCTAATGCGTGTTCAAAATAGAAACTACATTTTACGCTTTATGTTGTGCCTTTAAGTAGTCTGGCTAATGAGCGACACAAGCAGTTCAATTTAAAGACATGTGAGCATCTAACTTACTGTCTCACGTATGCCAAGAGCTCACTTCTACTCAAGAGACTCACTTCTATCAATTCCGGTCCCTCCTCGAATTGTCTTTTCAAAAATCAAATAATACGACGCATTAATAAACTATACACAATAATCAAATGTGCAACATCTCTGTATTTATATATTATAGCATTATATAAATTGCTAAAATGCTTTGTTTCCACTGTTATTTTTTCAAGGTGATGGCTCCCAACAACACTTTCCAGTCATACACACATGCTGGTATGTTACATGAATATTTTTGTTTTTCATTGATTGCGCAAAGATTTCTTACGCTCTTATTCCTCTCTAAAAGGGACTTCTAGCTTTGTAGAAGCCAACCAGAGTGGTCTCAATGATTCATTAGTGGATGTCGGCGGGCTTTGCACAGGATGGATTGCCCAGACAACCAGCACATCTGCTCTCCAGCCTTTGAGCCACTGGACTACCCCAGACTGCCAACACCACGACCCTACTATCCCATCCCACGCTGATATGTATGTCCAGCCGATCTGTCCCAGTTACACTGTGGTAGGCCCTTCCCCCATGCTGACGTTTGCGCACACACCTCTCTTCACCAACCTTGCGGTGAGCCACAGACTGATGCAAAGTCACTGCTATTGTTTGACGGCACTGCTATTGTTTCAGGTGTTGATTAGTCTCTTCTCTGGTTCCCTCTTAGACCATGAGCACCTCCAGCTCAGCCTTGCCACCAGTGGAGATCCCAGACTCCTCCTTGACATACATTCCTTGGGCTCAGCCTTTATCTACCATCTCCAGCACCGTCATGCAGTCCCCCTCTGTGCAAGCAGCCCTGTCAGCCTCCCAGCTCTTCCCAGTGCCTCTGACCTTGCCAGTGATTTCACCAGAACCTGAACCTAGGCAGGTGGAGCCTCCCCAGGCCCCAGAGGGCACTCTGGCCCTTGAGAAACTGCTGGAAGACGATGAGAGCCACAAAGAACCCTACATCTGCAACTCCTCGCTGTTTTCAGAAGACATTTAAGAAATCTGTAGATTGGCACTCTTTTTGCGCAGCTTTTTACCCAATCAAGATTTCATGGTGGAGCCAATGTAGTCCTACACTGAATAAGCCCCAGTATGAGCCCTACATGGGTTTGTCCTTGGGTTCTCTGTCTGAACCCATGACAAGTATGGGATACATCAAATAGGGCTGACACAGAACCCACAAACAAACCCATGTAATACCCATACATCGAGCCTATATTGTGCTTACATTGTCTCCACCATAATGTTGGCTGGCTCATGGCCACAAACACACTGTAAAGTTTTAGGAGTGACAACCGCATTGAAATATAGAAGTTTATTTAAATGATCATTCCCGAAATTGCGATGATTGACACTGTGGTAACCAATTAGCCTGACTACGTCAGACTTTGTACTCCCGCTCAATTTCAGTTTGCTTCTGTACTGAGTCTAGACCTATCTCTCGGTTTTCCTCCGGCATGAAAACAGCCGGCCAATCAACAGAGGCCGGGCTGAGAGCCGTGACGTAGACGCTAAGCGGCAAGTTTAAAATTTTATTTTCAGGTTAGGGAAATCAAAAACGACCGCAGATATGGAGATACGGGATGCAATTCGCTCTGTTGTGGTGAATATTCCCGGCATTTGCAAACTGAAGTCCGAACAAGAGGAGCCTCCAAAAAGAACTGTAAGATTCTGCAATTTTAACTAAACCACCGTCAACAGAGGCGTTGTGTATTGCTTATGCTGGAAAGGCTGCTCAAATGACTCCTTGCAGTGTTGTCAAGTCCACTTATAAGAGTTTTTTGGGCTTAGCTTTTAAAGCGATCAAGTTTATGGGATTAGAGAGAGAGTTTACCCAAGTTTCTTTCTTCTGTTAAACACAAAAGATATGATGAAGAATGTTGGTAATCAAACAGCCATTGCCTTCCATAGTAGGAAAAAGAATACTATGGGAGTCAATGGCTATCGTCAACCAACATTCTTCAAAATATCTTCCTTTGTCTTCAACAGAAGAAAGAAACTCATACAGGTTTGGAACAACATAAGGGTGAGTAAATTATGACAAAATTTTAATTTTAAGAAAATTGGGAATTTGCAGGTCATCAATATTTTGATGTTATTTTCAATATAAAGCTTTTGGATTTATTTTGGTCTATTATGTGCTCGTCCTTTTTCTCTCTAGCAACGTAAATGAGTTAAGCCTCGTACCTCTTTCCCAGTGGTTTTCATACAAAATCGAGACCTCTGATGCCCATTTAAAAACTAGTTGTTCAAGGCAGTTCCGTACACACTTTTTTAAATTTTTCTAAATGCAGTTGTCACTACCTGAATTTTTCAAAAGCTAATTTGTTTGTATAATTCAGTCCTGTGAATTTCTGGACTTTATGTGTACAGAATATATTTATCTCCAGGGTGTACATGGCCAATATGTAGGATTTGCTAGGCTGAAACTGATGTGAGGCATTTCAGACAGCATTTTGGCAGCCCTTATGAAAAAGGAAATCTGGAATAAATAACAGATCTGGGAACAACTGTGAAGGGATGACTAATGATGATTAATGTCCATTTTTGCTGGCTTTGCGTAGCTGCAATTTAATCCAATTTAGTGTGCAGAATCCTGTAGCATGTTTACAATGGTTAAAATACTAACATTTACATAGTGCTCTTCCTTGTAGACAGTTTATTAAAATGTCAGTTAGAATTAGAAAAGCATCGGTTTTCTGAAAGTTGGAAATTTCCCCTATGGATGTTATCATTAAATCTACCTGTGCCCAAGACCTGCATGCTTAGTTGTCTCTCAAGTTAACATGTTCCCTAATGAGATGTTTAAACAAGGGTCTGCTCTGTGCACGCTCTACCATGAAATCTGCTTTTCAGAGCTTCTGTGCATGACATATCTCCCTCAAACGGTATTGACAATAAAGCACACGTGCATTTGCAAGCATTTTAGTGTGTGATTTAGTGGTGGGTGGGAAGGAGAGGGGGGGATGTGTATGTGTGTGTTAATGTTTCTGATGTTTTTTGATTGCTAATTTGGCTTTAAATGTACATTCAATTAAATTTCAATTCACAATACATATCGTTTCAAAGCAGCTTAACAGAAAAATGCATGTTTCTACATTACAATTTAGAGTAATTTGTTATCAGAGGTGACAGAGACAAAGTAATATCCATTTGTCAAAAATGTCCAGTTCTAAGATAATACAAATCACGCAGTTAGCCAATGCCATGTAGTCATGTATTATTTATTCATGTATTCATGTATTGATCTCATTAAAGATATGATTACAACATTTGGACAATTTGGAAGTTGTGTGTCGATTTAGATTTTGATGTATATGAAGTCCACACAGGGGTTGGTGTAATCTTTTCACAGGAGTTAGTTCATCTGAAATCTTCGTAAGAGGTTGGATTCAAACGGAAGCTGGCGTACTCTCTAGATATGATATACATCCGTAGGTAGAGACAGAAAAGCTACCGGAAAATAATTAGCATAGCTGTTCGCAACATTTCAAGCAAAAGATAATTATGTGGTTAAGATTATGAGGTGCATTATGTGGATGCTGGGTTAAAGAGATTTGTCTTACTATCTTACAAAAATCTTACTAATTCTTATGAGTGAGGTCATATGAATTTGTACAAATTAGTAAAATTCGAATTGCTCTGAGATAAGGTTGGAAGATTGGTTAAATACAAAGGAGGTGCTTAACCATTTAGGGCCTTATAGCAATAGAGCAATAGAGATTCTGCATACACGTTTTTGGTCCAATAAGTAATACCTCAGTCTTATCCGAATTAAATAGAAGAAAATGACTGGTCATCCAATATTTTATATCTTTAACACACTGTTAACTTGGATAAATTAGAGATTAAGTGGAAAAAAACCTAGTCTAAAATCAATGGCGCATTGCACATTTTTCACTATGCTATTTTAAGCGCGCATGCTTGCCCATAATGTAGCGGGTGGACAACACGCATACATTCTCTCATTATTTTTGAAAATCATACATTAGAACAAGGAAAAATACTAACACATGAGGGATATCATTGTGGTGTCCATAAAGATGTAAAAATGTAAAGATGTAAAAACTGTTTAACCGACGCTGATTTGGGTGGGTTTTCCCCATCCCCATACAATGTCACTTCCCTGTCTTTCACTGCCCTAGCAAGAACGTCAGTCTCCTCGGCTGAAAACGCTCCAAGGACGCGCCTCGTAAATCCGCCATAATAACAATCCGCCTTGCAGCATGCGCAACATGCTTTAAAGGGTATGTTGGATGATGCTCTGATTGATTTATTTCACTTTACGCCCCAAACACCTATGAATAATGAAGCTATTTCAGACAAACCCCCTTTAAATTTACGTCGGGCGCAAGAGTCGTTTATCCCGTCAGTAAAATAGCAACAGCGCCCAAGACCCGCCCACAAAGTTACTTGCGTTTTGCGCTTGATACTTGCGTTTCAGATCGTTAAAATAGGGCCTCATGTCTTTCTGCGTGTGGAAAGCTTGGTCATATTTCAATGAAGTAATTGAAATTTAGTATTAAGACAGAAAACAAAAATAGTTTTGAGGCCATGACAATTGGTGTTTTCAAACCATAAAGAGCACTAAGAAAGACTGAAACCAAGTAAAACATTGACACCTGTGCTCAGTGTTTTTCTTGAGTAAACATTATGTTTGTGCACAAATATGTGCACCAGATACTTCAGAACACACCATGCTGCCAAGATGTTGCTTCTTACCTTTAAGGTGCCGCTGAATCATCCCAACAGGATCCAGGGGCATGTCTGCACAAATGTTGAGAGCTGGAAGGGACAACAATACAAGTTGTGACTGCTGAGGTGAAGCAGGGAAAGTGTGTGCTGGAAGGGGGAAAATATTAGGCATTTAGCTGTGCAGAATGAGAAGTTAAATACCTGCTTATATTACTCTGATTACAGTCCATGCAGAAGTGTGCACAGAAGACCCATTACTAAGCTAGATTTTTTTTTTTTTTTTGCAAGCAAATATGTCATGTGTTCATCTTTTATGGGGCATAAAACGGTTTGTATTTATTTGCAGATTTCTGGATAAATCATTGGAAAACTTGAACAGTAAATATTCTCTTCATATGCCAATACATTAATAATTTCCAGACACAATCCTGAAATGTCATCAGGGATCCCAGTGATACAATATCATGACTGAAAAAAAAACCCACCAGCACTTCCAAGCACCTCCTATCAAATGGCCGTTATATAGTACAAAGATCTCACACTCTTACAATTTCCTTGGGGAAATTGCGGAAAAACCCAACATACTGGTTTTAAAGAGAGATATGAAAAACTCTAAATAAACTCTTTAGAAAAGGAGTCGTGAGAAACTTGCAAGACTGCCTGTGGAACTGAAGTAATGAAACTCGGTAATTTGACCTATTCACATTTTAGGTTTCTAGAGATTTGGGCTGCTGATAGTCTCTGAAGATATATCGGTCACACTCTAGATTGATCTCACTATTAATGAACTATTTACTATGACTTTTTGTCTCAATAAACTCCTAATTACTACTTATTAGCAGTTAGAAAGGTAGTTGTTACATTTAGGTAGTGGGTATGATTAGGGATGTAGAATAAGGCATTAATATGTGCTTTATAATACTGATAAACAAACAATATCCCAATATGCATGCTAATAAGCAACTACTTAATACTGAGAATTGAACCAAATGAAAGTTGCAATAGATCCAACCAGCTAGTCCATCTTGGTGTGGGGGTGGGGAGTATTGGTGTGTGGGGGGGGTGTCCCTCTCGGTTGAAATCGAGTTGGGGGAGGGGGGTCCCTGCACAAACAGGCCTAAACCAATCCATGTTGGCAAAGAGTATATGAGAAAAACTTAACATAAACAACAAAGGCATGATACGACATGCCTTCAATTTCTCTAGGAACAGAGTTAGGCTTCTGGCAAAAAAAAAAGAAAGAAAAAAATGGGTGACATGTCATGTAAATAAAATATTAATAACAAATATACCTTTCAGCATTTTGGTGTAAAAAACACATCAAGTTTAAGAACCGAATGTTCATTCTACTGCAGTTACTTTACATCACAGGGTAGCTTTCCAGGTTCAGCTGTATTGCTAAAGAGATTCTAGAAAGTCTTTTTGTCATTGCATTCGTCAAGGTATCTTCTCCTTCCCTTTGACATAGATCTTAACCACTCCCTTATATAATGGGAAAGTAATTTATGATAGTGTCATTCAGGAAAAAAACATTACTGGTATGTTAAGTTAAAGCAGATGTCTTCCCTGATTTTTGCTGAATGCATGCGTCTTTTTATGTAAAAGAGGGATTAAAAAAGAGGACAAAAAAGCCCCTTCTAGAATTTTTACGTTTTTAGGTATTTTTAAGCTTATATTTCAATTTCATTATTTGGAGGCACTTGTGTTTCTGAGAAACATGAATACTTTGGCTCTTTTTGATCTTTCTCTTTCCTCTTCACATTTGTCTTATATGGGTCAAACTCTCAGTTAGTTATTTTTTCAGTATTCTTAATGATAGGCTATTATAACCTCAAACAAAGTTGACTCAAAGTTAACGCTATGCTTGTGCCACAACTGTACATAACGTTGTTGTTTTTTAAGAGGCTGTAAACAAACATAAAGAGTATAGTAGTAGAGATTACATTAGTTGCCTATTGGCCATAATTGACACAAGATTAAACACTGATCACAATTCAGTGTTGCCATAACAATGCAACACTTTCATGCTTGCCTTTTGACCTACTCATTGCTTCTCTCCAGAGTCTTATTTCAATGTATTCCTCTGTTGGTGTTGGCGAAAGGTTTATCGCTATACAGTATTCCAGAGAATTTGCATTGTTGCTCAATAAGTAATATGTCACAGCTGTTACGATTTAAAGACTATCAATGTTTCTCATGAAATCAAATTTTAGAAGACCTCTCTGAAAACGAGAAAACGGATGAAAAGCTGAAGGCTACAGCAAATTTATTTGCTTTCCATCTCTAAACTAATTGGATTTAGATGTAAAATGCACTAGCCATGTGGTTATCAATTGCTGAATACCTTACTCTTTTATTTTATTTTTTAATCTTTCTTGTTCCCAGTATCTCATTAAACCAGGGTTAGACACTCCTGGCACACAAAAAAGGTTCAGTAATACTTCATTGTTCATTAACCTTCTTTAATGTATCTAACATAGCCACAAAAAGATTTATTCAACCGCATTTCCTTTTTTTCCCTGTACTAATTAACCAGCAGATTTCATGAGCATAACTAGTTTCCTCATACTGAATTATTAAGGGTAAACATAAATCTGACATGCCAGACCTTTGCATCAGAAATATTACACACACACACACACACACACACAGAGAGACTTAATCTCAATTTTAAAACACCTCGAAATGAGAATAGATTTAGATATAACACAAAGCTTCAGCAATGTTTCCCTGCTGAATTGCAGTCAGCCTGTTGTAACAGAATACTTTCAATGTTTGTCTTAAAAAAGGTGTGAAACTGTTGAAAATGAAATCCCTAATGGCATTACTGACATGTTTTGGCATCCCTGCAGACACCCATGTGTCTGATAGTGTGTTATCGATCAGATCAGTACAATAGCTGCCTCTACACTCAGATCCAAGACGAGGACTGCCTGGAACAATTTATCCTTATAATGTTCCACAGCAGTCCACAATGTTCTTGTTTAAACTAATGAATCATGTTATCAGTGATAGTAGTGTCATCAGAAAGGATGAATATGCTACTTAATAATTTAGCATATCACGGTTTAAGCCTAGCCTATATAAAAAGCAGGGCGTGGGGGGAGAGGGGGAGCGCATTTTTATCGCAATATCTCAGTTTCGGAGTGAAAGCTCCATTCGTCTACGGTTCGCTTCACTTTATTGCAGAGAATTTGCTTTGTTGCTCAATAAATAATTTGTCATAGCTCACAGCTGTTATGTTTAGAAACGATCAATGTTTCTCATGAAATCAAATTTTGAAAGTGCCTTGTGTTTCATTTAACAAAAAACATTCATTTCAAGGGACATCATTTGAAAGCTTTGTGTGGATTATGCCAATTTAATTAGTTGGTGGAACAATTAAGAGAAAAGAGTATTGTAACTAATTGTAGCAGCTGCGCTTTAATATGATGATGACATAAACGAAAAAAATGGCACACAAAGAAAAAAAAAACTTGATAGTCAACGATAGTCAACTTCTATAACAGGTGAATCACATGACCGGGTTCTTTTTGGGGAGTCAATAACACACAGCACAACCAGTGTAGCCCAGTTCACACTGGTTAAGTGCTCTTAAACTTGAGGCACTGAAACTTGTGATTTGTCTGTCATACAAGTATAGCCTCCATTATATGAATAAATTCTTTTTACGTACTCCGGAATCCACTGAGAGACAGCAATGTGTCCCTGAGCGAGACACTTAACCCCTAGTTGCTCCAGAGGCATGCGACCTCTCTGACATATATAGCAATTGGAAGTCGCTTTGGATAAAAGCGTCAGCTAAATTAATAAATGTAAATGTAAATAAATGCTTGCTTGCTTTAACAGACATTTTACAAGACTGTTGCCCACTGAAGCGAAGCAGGGTTGAGCCTGGTCAGTACGAGATGCCTCTTGGGAAAACAAGTTTGCTGCTTGAAGAGGTGTTAGTGAGGCCAGCAGGGGGTGCTCATTCTGTGTGCATGCACACAAATCCATGGGTCCTGAAACCCAAAGAGTGATGGGGACACTATACTATTAAAAAGCACCATACTTCAGATGAGATGTTAAACCAAGGTCCTGACTCTCTGTGATCATTAAAAATCCCATGTCCTTCAGAAAAAGAGTAGGGGTTTAACCACAGGATCCTGGCTTCATGCACTGTTATTCAAAAGGGAACATTGCGCAATTGCAGACTCACATGATCCCGTTACATTTTCAGTGTCATATGCTATTGAGAATATAACCAGTTTAAACTGGAACCTCAGACTCTCCCTGGACTCAGTTCCTCATACCCCAGACCTTCACCTAATGTAGTAATTGTGAGTTTCTTCTCAAGTGGCAATGTCAGTTAAATACAGTTTAAGACTGGACCTTAATTAGAAGAATAAAAATTAAATGTTTTTTTTTTTCATCATTTCAACATTTTTTTTTCATTTAACATCATACTTATAGTTTACTAATTATATATTCTTTTTGCTCTTTTAGTGTACTCTCAGTAAACTATTCAGTAGTTTTATACTGCAAGTATACTTGCACCGTTTATTTTAGAGTACTCTCAGTAAAATAGTTTAGTAGTTTTAAACTACAAGTTTTATTTAAGTGAACTTAACATTATACTTATAGTTTACTATATATATATATATATATATATAACTTGATAAAACTGTAGGCTACTTTAATTTTAAAAACATTCTAATAGCTTCATGCATCCTTTTTTATCAACACTTGAATGTTGGTAAGTTTCAGAAAGGCAACATTTTAAACAAAAAAGTTGAGAAATCTCATTTTTGTCAAAGACTACGCCTTGATCAGATTCAGAATGAAGATCAAAACACAGATGGAGATCGATTCATTTTCTCTTCATGTGTAACGCTTCAATTAACTTGTAAACATTAAGCAGTTTTGATTTACACGCTGTTTAATGTTTGATGGTCACGTTATTTTACATTTGAGTGAGCAATCTTCTATCACTTGTTTCAGCTTCTTCTTTTCCTGTGTTTTGATCCTGAGATTCCAATCCGTAAGAAGATTTGTCTAACACTACCGTATAACAGTGAAAACATGGATAGCTGGAAAATTCAGTCATTGGTACAGTATAAAGTAGAATTAAAGTTAATTCCTACGTATGTACAATACCAGTGGAGTAGCCAACACAAAAATCAGATACGCAGAATTAGAAACATATATATCAATAATTTAATAAATATTTTTAAACAATGCAAGTTCATAAGACTATATGAAAAACGATGTAATCTAATTTTAAAAAGTATATAAACAAAACGTTACAGTATGCAATTTTTGGCCACAGGGAGTCGCTAATATGATCTTACAATAATAAAGGCCAATCGATGTCAAAAAGCATCAAGCTGAATTATGGATCTTGTCGTCAAGCTAATAGATCTTTTATGGATGAGTGAATACAGTGATGTTTTTAACAGGACTGTGGTGTGAAGAAGCGCGCAATTGCTAATGAAAGACTTATAACACGTTAAACTTTGTAAAGGAATAAGGACATTTCATTCTACCGAACTACACGCAAGTCCCGCATTAGTTCAGTTTATTCGAATTAAACTCGAGGTAACCCAGCGCTGTTTGACTTGCTCTAACAGAACTGTTAGTGTAACTACACTATCAAACTAAACGTCATTTAAGTGTGTTTAATGTTGTTAGTTAGGTTGTTTGTTGGCTATAGGAGATTAGCAATTCGAATAACATACTGATCATAAACATTTCATCATATTGAACTAAATAGCATTGATTAATTTTATGTACATTTGCTCACCTGTCTAATAAAGTAACGTTACATGAAAGACTCGCGTCTCTGCCAAGTCGATGTTCGCGAACGTGGAGCTCTCGGCTTCTCGAAAGATTTCGTTCTAGTCCTCTTTTTGTCTCAAAGTCTGCTTGCCATGGTCCAAAATGTTTGAACAAAACAACAACAATGTGAGCGTCCTGCTGAGCATAACCCAGTTGTCTGTCCACATCAGATTCTGTCGCCACGGTTACTATGGCAGTACGAGCGGAAAACGATCAACACGGATATGACGCCATATATTGACGGCGACTGCTCGCACCTGTAACACGTCCCATTTCCTTGGTTAAAATCTCAATTTTCTCACTATTAACAAATAGTTGGAAACATTGGGAATATTGTAAGTAATCAACTAAACAAAATATATAACATTGGCCTAGTGGTTTTTGGATGTTTTACTGCAAAAATCCTATATATTATTAGGCTACCCTTAATAGGCTACTCGATCAAAAGAGTTAACAACTACAAGCCAATATACTTTGAATAGGCTACTTAATTATATTTTTAAGTAGCCTATATCTCGATCAAAATATTGAGTAGGCTACAAGCATACTTGGATTTTTCCCCCAGTAAGTCAAGTATTCTTAGTGTAAGTTTATGTTTCTGTGAAGTAGCCTACATAGGCTAAAGTATAATTTAGTATAATACATTTTAAGTATATAAAATGTACTGAAAGTATGCTTTCTTATTTTTAGTTGAAAAGAAATATAGCCTACTAATAAACTTATTTTTCGTTATTATCGATGTGTACAAGATCAGGTTCAGTTCTATGCTTATATTTTACTTATAAGCTATTCCACCCGAAAGCTTGTTACATAAACTTGACCATGTTAGTTTATAAGATGTAATATCATGTTTTAAAAAAAACTATTGAATAAGCTACTCAATCAAAATAGTAAACACACGTAGCCGTCAAGAACACTTATATGCTATGTATATCTTTATCAGGCCAAATTAGACTGTCGGTATGTAGGCCTACAGTATCAATGATACTTTTGCAATTTGTAGCAGGCTATATTTCTGAGAAGTAGCCTACATAAAGCATATTTCTGAGAAGTAGGCTACATAAAAAGTAGTAGCCTATTTTTATTTTAAAAGAAGTATAGCCTACTAATTAGCACACTCGAATAAACTTTTTCGTAAGGGGAGGTCAGAGCAGTGTGCTGGAATCACTATCGCAATCAGAGATCACGTTGTGCAGAAGTGGGAGGGACGCAGTTCATGGGGAAAAAAAGATGCCAACGTGTGGATAGAGGAAAACTTCCTTGTCCTTTGCTCTCCCGAGGGGATTTCCAAGTTGGAGAGCAGCAGGCACAAAGCATGTGCGTCTGCCAAATTGTACACGCCCTACTGTTTGACTGCAAAACATTCCCTGTTTCTGTGGTTAATGAATAGGCTACACGATTGCGTGACTGTTAAATGATTAAGTCGTGCCATGTTGGAAAGTTGAAAGGGACACGGCACATTTATTTTAAATGAATAAAAACTGATGAGCATGTTTAAAAACAGATATTCAAGCATGAATTAAGTTCTTTTCAATCTTTCATTTCTAAAGAATTATTTGACACTGCAAATGCACTGCTTATAGTTTGGGACATTATATGATAATATTATTCCTTACCTGTTTACCATTCCATAGCCTACATGTAGATATTTGAATCTCGTGAGATAATTTAAGCCCAATTTCTACTTCTGCGTTGAACTCACGCCGTAGCTACGTCGTAGGCTGTGTGTCGCGCGTACCTTGACGTGCATCTCTGCAAAAATGTAACAACGCGCCAATTCTACGCGTACCGCAAGCGCTGTCATTGGTCTGCTAGAACCACTTCATGCTCCCCCTGCATGTGTAATTTCGCATCAACGCGGACAACAACGCAGAAGTATAAAATTAAAACCAACGCGTAGTAGAGGCTCCGCTGTAGGTCCAACGCAGAAGTATAAATCAGCCTTAAGTTATGCAATTCGTTTTCTTCATTTTAATTTTGCATAGTTAACGGTGCTGCGTTTTCCTTTCGCTTTCATATTTTGGTCAAAATGTGTGATAGTTAAAGTTCTTGTTCCACGATAATAATGATAATGATGAAAAGTTCAAGGCAAGCTACGGTGATTTTATACTTAAAAACAAATATGGCATGCAATTAATGTTTTTAATTTCAGTGAGTTAATTCTTTGCAGAGTTGAAAAAGTATAACAGTTAACTATAATCGATGCATTGTTGGATATCATATCTGTTTTTATACATACCCTATATGCTGTATAAACTGTTCCCCCTCCTACTTTCCTGGTGTTAACGATTGATAAGCAAAACAATAATTGTGCCCTTATTTTTTTTTTTTAAACTGTCAAAGCTCCACATTTCAAGAGTGAGAAACATACTGAACGTTGAAAGTCACCATTATTAATCCATATAAGCAATATTAACAAAAGATTCCAGTACAATTATGAAAAATATGTTTATTGTAGAAAAGATAAATGAATACTTTGTAAATTATACTCACACATAGCTCTCTGCAATCAACCTTGTTGCTTAAAAACAACTCCTAATCAAAGCCTAATCATGCATTCTGTCAGTTTTTTTTTCTTTGATCGAAACTAAAATACAACAAATGCATTCAAATGCATCAATTATGACACTGAATTTTCGCGCAAAGTGCGTTAAAAAATGCATTCTATAAGTAACACATCTCTGAGTTTGAGGTGTCCCTTCTGAAATAACTGTCGTCGTTATATGAAAACAAACAGTCTGAAGAGCCGTAGGGCGCATACTCCGAAGTTGGCATGCCTTCATGCACATTGGACCAGTGCGACAAGCAAAAACAATGCTGAAGGTTGCAGTGCTGATAGTGGTAATTTTCTGGAGAGAAACTGGAGCTCAAATCCATTCGTGTCGGGGAGCTGTAACAAGAGGAAGATGAAGAGTGGGACTGAGGGGGAGAGTAACTGTTGTAGTCGACTGGACTGGGGAGATTGAAGGAGTCTGAGGGTGACCTGGATACCTGAGGAAACATTGCAAAAGCACAAAACACGTATTAAAAATGTTGCACGCGTGATTTTATTAATTTGAGAAAACACAGAGGCCATATTTGACCATTAGAACTCTCCAAATGTTTAAATGAAAAAACATCAAACACGTACCAGGCTAGTACCATAGAGGTCCGTATTAGAAGGCATATATCCATTAGACCACTGCGCAGAAGTGGGACACACGAAATTACTGCCGCTGTAAGTCTCAGGTGGCATCGTGTGTATCATCTGTTGATGATCATAAGCATTATCCATCTGAACGTTGACATTTTCGGTAAAGGGACGTGTCTGGAAATAGGGCTCTGGAGCTTGCATTCCAGAGAAGACATCAAGGTGGGCTGTTGGGAACACAGAAGAAAATGCTGGCTTGAGCACAGGAGAACATTTAAATTAGGCCAGCAAGACTTGGGATGATGTCACGAGACCATCAGCCAACAGCTTCACATTTGAATAGTAGTTTATAAATGGGAGATCATTCCAGGATCTGTAAGGAACACCTATAGATGTGGGTGTCTTTGTTCTTTTATTTATTTATTTTATTTGTTCTCCCCTTAGAATAGATGTAGAGCTGATGCCTGACGGTGGATGAAAATGGTTTCTATTTTGGAGTATAGTAAGTTGCATGCAGTCAAGTACTCTGTTTTGTCTTGTTCTCAGGTTTCCTGATTAAAATTCAAGCTCTTACATGTAGTTTAGTAGGCAGAAGGTTTATTATCTTTTTTTGTTTGTTTTTACTGTCAGTTATCGACGTATTTTAAACTTACTATTCATGGTCGTAGAGCAGACATCGCGACCAGCCATGGCTTGTGATTTCTACAGGATGAAATGTAAGAGAGAGAAGTAGGATGAAACATTAACCTTTATGCTCGGTCAGTGGAAAACAGCAGAAATTTTGTAGTTCTGTTATGTGGTATCAACTGAATCTGTCTTCAAGCAGGCCTGTGGGGGCGTGGTGCTTTGAATTTGGTCTTGTACTGACCACGCTTCACTTTACTTTGGCTACCACAAGTCAATGGTGTTATGATTTTTATTGTGTTTCCAACAGTATTATTTACCGTTGTGGGTTGTGCGGTTTTCTGTGCCTGCAGGGCTCTGTGCTTCTGCAGTAACTCCTTGACAGTGGTCTTCACACGCACACCCTGGTAAATCTTGGGTTTATCTGCAGAAAAAAAACAATACATTTATTTTCATTCACCACTGACGTATGCATTATTTAAATGATTCTTACATGTTCTGTAAATGTGAATGTTCTGTGCAGAAAAAAAAAGAACAAAATATTTTTTATTTCCCTAAATAAAAATCCTAACGAATGTATAGCCTACATGAATCCCTGTTTAAGACAACGGATCTACGTTGTTAAAAATATTTGTGAGGGTGCTTCAAATATGTAGGATTATGTTTGTTTGATTTTATATATGCATTTCGTGTGTGTATATCAGTGTGGCTTATCCAATAAGCAATATAAGAATTTAATTGTGTTACCTTGAAAAATGTGTTTTTGACTTGGTTGTCAAAATAATGAAGTTGCAAGGAATGCATTTGACCACTTTTCACTCTTAAAAAAAGAACGTTCTTTATTGAGATCGAAGCATGAAGAACCTTAAACATTATTGGAATCAGAAGGTTCTTTACAGTGAGAAAGATTCTTTAGATTATTAAAACATTCTTCACACTGATAGAAAAAAGGTTATTTTAAGAACAAATCACTGAAAGGTTTTAGAGAACGGATATTTGGTTATGGAAGTCATTAAATCGAAATATTTCTATAAAATGTTATGCATGTTTTTTCCAAGAATGATCGAAACAACAGGAATACAAAGATTAGGTTTCTATGACAACCACATGTCTAGTCTATAACAAGATTTTTGAAAGATTTCTTGGACATCCTTATTTGTCAACCAGCTTTTGCATTTTCTCCATTTGCCAGTAGAAAATAAGATAGGCTATAGCCTGAGTAAATATAGAAATACAAGATAATATCCCTCAAGATAAAAACAACAATGCTCGTCTTCCCAGTTAACGCAGTGGTCTGAGTGCATTGGTGATCCGGCAATGAATGGGTTAGTTTTCGCATTACAATAGACAGTAGTGAATTTCGAGAAACATGCTCTCCAGCCATCTTTGGCACGGGGCGACAGAATTAAATTGTAGTTCAGACGGTTTAATTTCATGTAGCTGTAAATTAAAACCCGACTAAAGTGGCGATGAGCCTAATCTAATTATTGAGCGTTTCTCTCGAGAGCAGAAGCGCTCCAAGTTGCGGAAGCGAAGTGAAAGCGCTTCAAAACACTACATGCAGGAAAGGAGACAGAGAAGCTTCCTCGGTCGACGCCACTACAAGTTACAGACGTAAGTAAAATACTCTTAGTAACCTATGGCTAATAGCAAAAGCCGCGTGCAAGCGGACAGAGAAAATAAATCGGGGAATAGACCAGATGTTAAAGTCATTATCCAACAGAAACCCCGATTAGATTTGTTGCAAAAAATCCCGATTTCTTTACAAACGCTCTGTCGATTTAGCGACAATCTGTTGTTTTAAATGTCCTAAAATCGTCGCTGCGTCCAAGTTGGATTTTGCGTTCCGCTCGCCAAAATTATTTCTTGATAAATTTAAGAGGAAGTCCTTGTATTTCTTCCTACTGGAGTAAAGCCGCGCCTAATAACTTCCTCCCAATATGAAATGTGTATAAAAAAAAATAGATGAAAAAACAGTTGTCCTTCTTTTCTAATTTTTTAATTGGTTGTTCAGGCTTGTGAATACATATACAGTGGGACGTCTTTCTGATCCGTGTTAATATAGCTATATAAAATTCTGTCGGAACATTTGTGATTCCAAACAACGCCACGCCATGGTTGAGTTCATGGAGGCAGTTGCAACACGAGGGCAAAAAAAGTGCGCTTATGTTAATAAGAGAGTAAAAACGTCCTTCGGCAGTGTGTTGATGCGCTCGTTGACAGTTAAACCTATCTAATAAATATTCATATAAGCTCTGAAGCAAGGCATGAATTCTGGTTAAAATGTTCAAATTATATTCAGTCATCGTTTACTGTTGGTTATTCCTAAAAGCATTGCATTCAATTGGACACGCTGGTCGACAACGTAAAGTCTAAAAAGACATGGCAAATAAATCTTCAGGTCATTTTTGCTTGAAGAAAAAGCTGAGTAAAAATACAACCAGAAAGAAAATTCAAGCTATCAGTGAAGCTCGAGCTTTAGCCTAATGAATATAGAGATGTTGTTCCCTCAAACTGCAAGTAATTGCATGTATAGCCCAATTAATTTAAAATACATAGCCTATACATATAAAATTCACCAATTTGTTTGAATTGAATCCTTCACATGTGTTTGCTGTTTTAAGATATTAGTAAGGCTGCATCCTTTGAACTACACATTTCCAAGCAAAGTTTACCAATGTATTAAATTATTTTAATTAACATATTTTTTTTCTCAATGTTTTTCAGGTTGCTGAAGACAAAACATCTTAAACGAAAGAAAAAAAGAAAATTGACTTACCAGACATTTTGGCCTGAAAAGGAGGAAAACTCTGGAAGAACTACAGTGAAATACCCCAACGTCACTTCTTTGCTCTATTATATGGGCAAGAACGAATTATTCACAAAAGTATTAAAAAGTCTCAACAAAGTAACCTCAAAACACTCTCAGGACATACAATTATACAGTAATATAGCTAGGGATATTTTAGTTTGAGTTTTTCTCCCCTCATCCCTACTATTTAAAACCCCAAGAACTCAATGATTTGACAATGATTTGATTGCGCGATACTTTCAATTTGAATATTCAAAGGCTTCGTAAAAAGACTTATTTCTGACTGATATTCGCTATTATAATGCATATATTAGCACCTCTTTTAATAGAATGTTGTGTTATTTCACATCTTGACATCAAGCAAATATATATTTTTAACATTTTATCATCCTTTTGGTGTTGGTGGATGGAGTCTCCCTTAGAAGCACTATTTCAACTTTGCAGGGAGATTCAAGGCACAAATCAAGCTTTACATTCCATTACACGTTGCAAATATCTTCTCTAATAGGTAGTATTGAAAAAAATAATAATTATTGTGACGTGTAGATCTCATTTGTGCAGTATTTTAAGAATTATTGGAGTTGTGGGCGTGGCATATGATAGCAGCCATGTTTGTCATTAGAACAATTGGGACTCATGCTAAAGTTAAGTTACTGGGATAGTGGGAACAGGTATGAGAAGGCTAAATATGAAATTTAGTCATTTATATTTATAGGCTATATTGAATTCAAAAGGTCAGTTGTAACTGCAGACCCAAAGCAAGTTAATTGAAAACGATGTTCACAATAAAATTTAGGCTATTAATTTACTTTCTCATGGTATTATCTGTTTTAATGAAACAGTTTCGTTAATCAATGCATGTTGCATATTTATCATCATCATTAAAATCGTCATATTGATCCTCAAAATGAATAGGAGGGATGCTGATCACAAACACAATCTTACACCTGACTGTAGTTAGGCTAAGGTCTTTTAACAATAATTAAAACACTTTAAATAATTAAAGTGGAATATTCTTCGAGACCGTAATGCAGTTGTTTATTTACGCGTGTGATATTTAATGGTCGTGTGTTTAAGAAGACTGGAAACAGGCAGAATGGATGACATGCAGGTGCTCTTTGTCTTAGCAAAGAAGTCTGAAAACGGTCCATGTGACATGTAGGCCTTGTATACCGACAAACTGAACATTTCGTTCGCAAGTGCAGAATAATTGGATATCAAAGTGTTGAGATAAAACATAGGGCACTTTATTAATACGTCTTTAAGCATCTTGTTGTAGCTAATCCGAATGCAACTATCTTGGTGGGATTTCTAAATCGCTTGACTCCTTTGTGAAATCGATTTGTAATGTTAATTCGCTGCAAACAGACCTCCTGTTTCAAAATATTATTTTCTAACAAGTCTCTCATTATCATTCACCTTGATCATCATATCTTTCATAATCCTAATAAATCTCTAAAGAAAGGAGAGGACAGTCGTTACGAGATCTGGCCAGTTGAATGTCGCCCCCTGGTGACTAAAGTGAGGAACACTCAGGTCCTTTATGTTATCAATTTCTTCATTTCAGTACATTTTTATACATAAAACGTTCCCCAATTCCTGTTTTCCTCACGTTAGAATTAAAATAGACGTACATCTTTTGATTTTCACCCTTATTTTATATAGATGTTTTTCTCCTAATCTGGAAATGATGTATATATGAAGATATTATTGTTTTTGAAAGAAGTCTCTATGCTCATCAAGCCTGCAAACAAATTTGTTTTTGTTTTATCAAAAATACATAACAAAAATAATATTGTGAAATAATAAAGCCTATTTCAGTTTAAAATAATGGTTTTCTATTTTAATATACTTTCAAATATCATTTATTTATATGATGAAAAGCTGAATTTATCAGCCATTACTCCAGTCTTCAGTGTCACATGATCCTTCAAAAATATTTAATGATGAAATAATTAGGATGTTGGAAACAATGCTGCTTAATATATTTTTATAATCTGTGATACTTTTTTTCTACATTTTTTTGATGAATAAAACCATTTTCTTTGTATGAAAAAAAAGAACAGCATTTATTTAAAAAAGAAATATATTGTAACAATTTCAGGGTCAGTAATTTCTTTCTCTCTTTTTTGAAAGAAACTTTTATTTTTTCAAAGGATGTGTTACATTGATACAAGGTGATAGTAAACATTTATATTGTTAGAAAAGATTTCTATTTTGAATAAATGCTGTTCTTTTTAAAATTGTATTGATCAATGAATCAATAAAAGTGTTTCCAACATTGTTAATAACCGAGTATCAAATAATCAGCCTATTTTAATGATTTTTGAAGGATCATGCACTGCACTGAAGACTAGAGTAATGGCTGGTGAAAATTCAACTTTGCATCACAGAAATAAATTATATTTTAAAGTATAATAAAAATAGAAAACCATTATTTTAAATTGTAATAATATCTCACAATATTACAGTTTTTTCTGTAATTTTACATTTCTGTCATAATTTACTCACCCTATTGTTTTTGCAAACCTGTATGAGTTTCTTTCTTCTATTGAACTCAAAAGAAGATATTTTGAAGAATGTCAGTAACCAGACAGTTGAGGCAGCCATTGACTTCCATAGTATTCTTTTTCCTATATGGATGTCAATGAGTGCCATCAACTGTCTGTTTACAACATTCTTTAAAAAATCTTCTTAAAACAGAAGAAATAAACTCATGCAGGTCTGAAACAACTTGGACAGTAAATAATGGCAAAATGTTAAAATATCCCTTTAAGAAACCTCTTTCAAAAATCTTAAATGAGGTTTAACGGGATAAGAGGAATATATACAGCAGACTTACCTCTGTTCAGTGACAGTTTATCACCATCTCCTCTCTTCTAGTTCTAATATCACAACTGGGGGTTTGCCAAATATGCATAAATATGCATTTAATTACATGTAAGTGTGAACTTGTGAAATATAGTAAAGTCTCTAAACTTTGGCTGGTACTGTATGTCTTATTCATATAGGATAACTAAAAACTGATTTTGTTTTAATTGTTGTTTTCAATAAAGGGTTTGAGTTTTCATTGGATGTAAAGTTGTTTCTGTTGTGTTCACATCAGGCGCTTGATTTTCCCTCAAATGCAAAACTGCATCTGACCCGTTGCAATGTTGATTCACAAGAAGGCTTTTTGGTAATTCTAGTTTATTTACCTTATAGATACAATTTTCACAACAGACTTTTAAATGAAACAGTCACAAGAAGAGAAACAGGACTAGATAGATAACTATAAATATTTGAACACTTACATTTTTGCTGATAATATACATTTAAATAGACTCACAATCACTTAATGTGCCATTGAAATAAAACAATTCTGATATAGACCATTTCACAAGATGTAAACAACACTGGTCCAGAAGCACTTCCTGTTTCAGTTTGTAAGTGTTTTCTTTATTTCACATGTAAAGGAAACATCTTAAAGATGTTTGTTTAACTTTTTGATTCAGTTTTAAATGTTCTATTGGTTGTATTTTATCCCAGCTTTTATGTAGTGTTAAAAAACTGAAACAGGAAGTGTTTCTGGACCAGTGTTGTTTACATCTTGTGAAATGGTCTATACATGCAGTCTCATACTGATTATTATCCTAATTGTCCAATATAACTTGCGATGACTCGAAAATTCAAGGTACCATTATAATAAACAATACAAATAAAACATAAAGATACAATGTTTGTTCCCCAATGTTAAGCCTTAGCTCTGCTAAGTAAAACTGACACAAAGATTTTAGTGCTAATTGCCTTACTTGTGTTTTGAAGAGGTGTTGATCTGCTAGGCTTTAAGCCTTTGCTTCCTTATACAGTTCAATCTCAGAACGTCCTCCTGACCTCATACTGTGACCAAGTGCCACCAGTGTCCTCTTTGCCCCATACCAGACTGTCACTCAAGGCTGAAGGGGCGCTTTCTGTATCTTCTGATGGTAGAACTGGCACTAGTTTGGTCGCAGGCTCAGTCAAGAAAGAAGGGGGAGCAAAACTGCCAGACGAGGATTGAAACGAGGAGTGATAATTGACATCATCCAGTGAATGGAGAGAGTATGGCTGTGAAGACGTCATGCGGGAAGATGAGCGAAACTGGGTCGGGCTGGCGGTCTCAGGGTTGACCAGAGAACTGGGTGTAGATAGGGGCATGGGAGCCAGACCATCTCCACACAAACCCTCCACCACATCGGTCCCCGTGGGCTCCCAAGAGTCCCTCTGCGGTCGACAGAAGCAAAAACTCAGTTCATACAAAAATGAACATTCTGTCATAATTTACTCAACCTCAAGTTGTTCTAAACCCGTTCTAAAATAATGTTGGTAACCAAACAGTTGATGGGCCCATTAACCAACATTCCTCAAAATATCGTCTTTTGCGTTCAGCAGAAGTTAGAAATTCATACAGGTTTGGAACAACTTGAGGATGAGTAAATGATGACAAAATTGTAATTTTTGGTTGGAGTATCCCTTTAAGAACATTCTCAAATGACAAGACACTAAATTTACTGAACCTCCTCTAAAGCCAATCTCCATTAAAACCAGATGAATATACAGAAAGTGGGAGAGACAACAGACACTAGTTGTAATGTACAACAACAAAAGAATGGCACAGAGAGTAAAACAAAACAAAAAGCCAGTATGATGTTTTGTCAAGACCAGAATGTTAACCTAAATAAATGTTTTCTTTTTCCCAAAAAATTAAGGAAGATGCGGGAAGATGCCCCTCTTAAGGACAATGTGTACTTAATTTAACATATTTAGATATAAGTTTAGAATGTGCATGTGAAACATTTGCTAATTTAGTTGTTAAAGCAAAAAATGTGAAATATTAAAAGAGGGGTAAGAAAATGGGTCTCACTTCCCCTATTTTCATTGAAGATACGTCATAATAGCAATGCTATGAATGCAAATATGATTTCCCTCAAATAACCTATAGGTTTTATTGAAAGTAAAGCTGTCTGAAATGTATATCTAATTAATGGAAATACAGAATAATAACCCCATTAATTACAATAAGTATCATTAATAATAAGTACCCAGCATTTTGACTTATCTAATAATTCAGAATCAAATTGTCAGCAAAAATGTGTTATTTTTAATTTAAATTCATAATTTAAATTTCATAAAAATAAATAAAAGTATATAAAGTTTGCAGGTAGTATAGGTTTTTCAAATACTTAAATATAAATAGAAAATATATATTTAATTATATAAAAAACATGTACTATCTGCAAACTTGTTATTCAATTTATTGATTTGAATTTGACATTTGAACTGTGCCAATGAAATGAAATTCCAAAAACATTTCTTCTTATTTGCCCTAAAAACCTAGGCTATAATACTTGTTTTTTCAACAAATGTTAATATTTTTAATTTAAGTTATGAAAATAGAAAAACATAGAAAATATAACTATACAAGATTTAAATAATGACAAAACTATTTTTTAAATATATATTTTTATAAGTAACGTTGCACCTATACGTCCACTAACTCTCACTGAGTGTTAGTAGTATAAGTCGACTGGTAGGATTAGGGATAGAATAAGTTGATATAGTTGTAAAGTTACTTTTAGTAAGTCATAATAATGTCTGTTGGAGTATAGCATCACAATAAAGAGTTGTCAGATATTAAGCAGACAGTCTACTAATACTCTATCGAGAGTTAGTTGACATGTAGTTGCAAAGTTGCGTATTGTCAACTTAATGTTCAAAAGGGACCATCAAAATAAAGTGTTAACAATTTTTTTTAAAACTACTTGTATGAAACAGCAAACATGTTATTTAATATACGGATTCATTTAAACATTGTCCCATTTGCCTGTAAAAAAAACAAAACATATTATATTTATATGTTCCTAAATCTTGTTTTTCCCTTTTTTAATATCATTTTTTTATTTAATTTAAATATAATGTAATATAGAGGAGTATAGAAAATATAATATATAATATATAAATAAATAATATATAATATATTTAATAAATATAATATGAAATAATATTCTAAAAATAGTTTAAAAATGTGTTCTATAAATATTTTAATATTGTTTTATGTTTTTTTTTTTTTTAATTGTGTCAGGAAACAGCCTGCAAACATGTTATTTAAAGTATTGAATAAAGGACTGGCCCATATGCCCATAACATTTACAGTACATCATTTCAGAAAGATATGACCTATACAGTACATAGCTTAAAAATAGCTGAACTACTGAATATTTCCAACACAAAGCAGCATAGACCTTTCCATAGCCTATATACACCTGTGCAGAAGATGGACATATGACCGATTTATTCACTGAAACATCACAAATATCTTTTCTGACTGTTCTTGCTTGATGTGCCTGATCTTACCAGCAAATAATGTGAAGGGTCACTGGAGTATGGAGGGAGTAGAGAAGACAATGCAGATGGTGAGAATATTGCACTTCCTCCGCTGGAGAAAGGTGCACTGCGGTAGTCTCCAAAAGACTCCGGGTAGTAGCTGTCTATGAGAGAGGAATAACCAGACATGCATCCGGTGTCACATGACAGAGACTTTCCAGTTAGCGATGAGGGGTAGACATCAGTAGAAAATGGTTTCGCTGAGGAACAAAACTCTGTGTCTGAAATGAAAGGTCTTCTCATGCCGTAGTAACTCGGAAGCATGTGAGAACCTGAACAGACCCCAACAGTTTTGATTAATACATGAAAATAATTCATGACTGATACATTATTTACAGCATCTAGAAATGGCATCGCACATTTCTGAATGTTGAATTGGAGACTCACCAGTCATTTGAACTAACGGACTCGGAGGAGAGGATCCACCCTAGAACAAAAAATGATTCCCATTAATCATCAGTTTTCTGTGATCACCTCGTTTGACTAACGCAATCTAGTATTAATGGCACATGACAAGCCAAAGCACAAAATATTTGCATACATCTAATTGAACACTCCCCCCCCCCCCCAATCTTAGAGAGATTTTTCACTATTATGCAAGAGTAAACAATCTGATCTGATAAATAACCATAAATAAATTCATCACCACATCCTTTAAATAAAAAAAATATCATTTGTTATACACTGTTAGACCTTACCAGGTTTTTTACAGTGAAATACTGGTAACATTACTGTAAAAATGCACTAAAACTAATAAGTTGTATTTTTTAGTTAACTTGAGTTTTAGTGCATTTTTACAGTAAATTACTGGCAACAAAAACCTGGTAAGGTCTAACAGTGTATATCTCACTTTCTCTTGCAACCTAGTTTTATATGGTAGAGGAAGAGTCCAGTTAAGATTCAATTATTCTACTACCAAAATGACAGTGAGACCAAGAGATTTGTTACATACAATTTTGTAATTGAATGGTTGAGAGCTATTGGTGAGGCAGACACACACTCTTTTTCGTTTGCATAATGCTAGAATAAATGAGCTGATATCAAGGCAGCGCAGGCTGGAGGAGGGCAAGCAAATTTTGTGGCTAGCATTTGAATGTCATGTGCTCGTTCCAAGACTTTCCTATGTGAATGACCTACGCCTCAGTGCCTCTCTGAAGGCTTGGTATGGAAATGAGGCTGTTGAAGAGGTCCAAGGCTGTAGCACTGCACCTGATCCAGCCTCGAGATAAACCACGCTGGAGTGGGTGGAAGTGAGGGGGTTGGTGGTTTGTGGCCCTTGAGCCGACAAGCAATAAAATAGCTCTACTGTACGCGAGTGGGATACAGTAAAATGAAGTTCAATACCATGCAAACACTTTTTCTTCCCACATAAAACTTCATTTTCTCTGTCTAAAGTGTATTATGACTTTGCTTTTGAATTGCTCCCTAGATGATTGTATTGCTTATTGTTGCTAGAAACAAAATGCCATTTTACTGACATTAAAAAAATTCACATTCATTTGATTTGATCACATTCAAATCATCTTTTGTCTCAAAGTGACTTTCTTAAATATATACAAGCATGTGTGTGTTTATATACATACGTGTGTGTGTGTGTATATATATATATATATATATATATATATATATAAATAATTATACATAGTGCACCCACATATATTATGTAAACACAAACTTTTATTTTGGATGCGATTAATCGTTTGACAGCCCTAATATATATTTATATAAAATATTAAAATTTAAACCTGTATTTCTTTTTTTTTTCTTCTTCTTCAAAATATCTTCTTTTATGTTTCCACAGTGGAAAATAATCCATAGGTTTGGGAAATCTTATACTGAGTAAATGATGACAAAAAATGTTTTGGGGTATTGTCCCTTTAAGATTCATACATTTACATATATGAAAATTTTAAGGTAAATTTTAGACAAAAAATAGAGACTTTAAATTAATGAACTTGAAATAAAACAATGAAATGAAACAAATTTTGTGGCTTCCCCTCACACCTCACTGGCAGTAGCATATTAGTCATCTCTAGAAATAGCAGTTGAGCTTTGGATCATTTTAAACGTTTAGAGATTACTTTGCAATTTTTTACTGTCCAACAGCTCATTATGTGAGACCCCCGTAACAGAAGGTCCTGTTTATTTTCTAAGCTTGAACTCTCAAGTGACCTTGCAAAAGCCGTGTCTCGAATGACGTTTAAAGCAGCTCTCTGAAACAGGCAAGTGAAGCCAAAGAAAGAAGTGGCCTCTTGGTTCACCGAGCATTTTTTCTCCCGCTTAACTATTGCTGGCCGCTTTCACGCTTGGCTTTTGATTTGTATGGTGGTCCGAACAAAGAATTAATGGGTGACAATAGGACCACTTAACTGTCACCGTCCCACAGGTGGGACGTTTGCCACTATATTTTTAAAACAATAATATCTTAGTAAATACCTTAAATAATATTGACAAACTATATATCATTTGAAAGCTTACAATCTCTAGTTTCCATATTTGGTGACTGATTTTCAAAATATATTACAGAGGAGTCATAATTTATCAATATGCAACAAGAATATTTTCATACTCATAAGGCGTGTTCAGACCTTTATTTTAAAATAGCAGTAAACATGAAAAATCATGAAAAAATGGTAGATACCTCAGTTTGTTTTCATGCCAAAAGTTCAAAAGATAGAATCTATTCAATTATTTTGGAAAACAAAAAGGTCTGAAAAGTTTGAAATATCAAGAAAAAAATAATAAATTCACCATTTGTGACGTGGCAGCTAGCTATGACTTACATGCGTGTTCTTTGTATGTTTCTTAGAGGTTCAATTCATTTCAAAATCTGAATCCAAACTACCCATACTACTTCTGAATAGGATATCTACTTCAGAAATTGTATGAAAATTGTGAAAATAATGGTTTACATCACTCAAAACACGAATGGAAATGCAGGCGCCCTTATGGGCAGTAATGGAGTCTGATTGTGCCCTAGTGAAAAAGTTTGGTACTGCGCTCAAACAAAATCTTACTGAAAGCTCATTTTTTTGATTTTTGGCTTTGATCTTTCTGCCGTTTTAGAGTAGCCCAGGTTTTAAAAATATGACGCAAGATGGCGGAGTAGTTGTGTTTAAGCCGAGCTGCTGTAAAGCCCTTCAATTTTAACTTTTTCAGTCTAATAAGCCTCCCTAATTTGGTGATATTCTGGGCATTGTTGACGCAAGGGATGTCAGAGAGAAGATTGAATCTAAACTACACGCTCGGCTCAGAAAACGAAAACAATCGAAACTACCGACTCCCGCGCGTACAACTGAAATGGCGGATCATGTGTCACTAAACGCTGGGGAAATGGACGCGCTAGCTAAACGTATTGCCTAGGAAGTACTCGCAGGAGTGGACATAGCGCTCGAAAACAAAATTGGCCCTTTGATGGAGAAGCTCTCCGTGGTGACAGCGCATGTTACTGAGGTTGAAGATCGCGTCGCGGTACCGGAGACGCGCATATCAACGATGGAAGATACCATTGCCAGAGAAAGCGCATCTGGTCAAGATGAAGGCGACCCTTGAAGCAGCTCTTGACAAAATAGATGACTTGGAAAACAGAAGCAACATACGAATAATCGGCCTACCCGAGGGCGAGGAAGGCACGAACCCCGTTCTGTTTCTCAAATCGTGGCTGCCCAATTTTCTGAATATCGACATGGCCAGATTAAAATAGAACGCGCGCACTGGTGTTGTGCCGAATTTTGACCCCCGCCAAATAATTACCCCCCTAGCATTGGTAGATTTAGAATTAGTTGTGGGGGAGTGGGTAGGATTAGGGGCGGGGTTGGGATTATGTACTGATTTCAACGAGGGGGGGTAATAATTTGGCAGCACCTGTTCTCGATGCGCCATCCTACCCAAGGAGAGGGACCACGCGCCGTAAACCAATTTCCAGGATAAAGTCCGAATTTTACAGGCTGCTCGAGCTGCCGGTAGGCTGCTGTATAAGCAACATGTTATATCCATCTACGAGGATTTTTCGGCTGCAATCATCAGGAAAAGACAGGCATTCGGTGCAGTTAAAAAACGTCTCCGTGAGAAAGGAGTGGGCTTTGCTATGATTTACCCGGCGGTTCTTAGAGTGCAGTATGATGGCGCCAAGTTCTTCAAACAACCGAGTGACGTGGAGGATTTTCTGTCTGACCTGCCTGCCTCTGCTCCTTCCCTCAAGCCGAATGCACCCCGTCCCGATGCGGCTGAATGACTTTAAAACCGGGTCAATGTTCTTCAAAAGGGACTAGAATGTTTAACCCCTAAGCAAGTTTGACTTTCTGTGGAAACAAGGTATGGATATTTACAGACCCACAGAGACGTTCACATTTGTGACAGGTGGTTGGGGTTGATTATTTTTGTTCTTTAGTGCTTTATATTTCAAATCGCCTCAATTGATATTGAGTGTGGTCAGCAAGGTGTTTATTTCGTGTTCTCCAAGAGTTACATACTGGCGATGGGGGCATCGAGAGGCGTCAAGAAGACTGACTAAGTATGTTTTCTATAGGCTACATTTAAAGGGTTAACGTTAACTGTTACGTTGGGGCTTATAGCAGTTACGGTTTTTTTGAACATCTATGACTGCACAACATACATGCGTGTTGCTTGTGTATCTTTTAACAATTGTCCAGACCATCTGTTGTTTTTACCGGTCCTGCGTAGTTTCTGATGAGCATGGGACTGTGTACCCGTGGATCTCGTATATGAAACCGACCGGCGCCAGGCTCCACCCTTTGATGGACATAGTTGTTTGTGTCTTGAACTGTGTAAATAGTTCTCTTTTTTTGTTTGGCATTCAGGGTAATTTGATTTTGTTTTAAGTTTTTACCTATTCATTTAGGGTTTTTTTTTTTTGTAAATTTTTTTCAAATCCAGCCTCCTCTAACCCTTGTGAATTATATTGCATTATGTTCTCGGCTTGTCACAATATTACTGGCTAATTTAAAGGTACTGTTTACACAAGGAAAAATGTGGGCTATTAACCTTAAATACCGCTATTATGTCTGTAAATAACTTCAAATTGAAACTTTGTAGCTGGAATGTTAGGGGGGTTCAAAATCCTATCAAAAGAAAAAAGATCCTGAATTATTTGAAAAAAGAACAAGTTCATATTGCATTTCTGCAGGAGACGCACTTGACGGCAAATGAACACACCAAGTTAAAGCGTGACTGGGTGGGGCAAGTGTTTTATTCATCTTTTAATAGTAAAAGCAGGGGTGTGGCCATTCTCGTTCACAAACATGTTCCTCTCTCAACTATAAGTGTTCAGGCTGATACAGCAGGTCGATATGTGCTGCTTAATGGTAATTTGAGTGGAGAAACTGTGACCTTAATGAACGTATATGTACCCCCCATTCAATCTAATGATTTTATTACACACATTTTTTGTAAATTTGCAGAGCTACA